TCTGCTGCTTTGACTGTCGCCCCCGCCAGCAAGTTTTATCTCCTTAAAAAAACAGAGAGAGTCTGTGAAGGCGGAGATGTGATCTGCCAGGAGCGTCTCCTGCACAGGGTCCTCGTGAACGGAACAAAGACAGGATCAAGCTGTCCCTTTTCCGGGTCAAGCCAGGACTCTTCCTCCGGGGCCATAGCTGGAGACCAGGCCTCCTGCATTCAGATCCTCGGGGCAAGAAGCACGGATGGGGCATAACGGAAGAGGTTGCTGCTTTCGGGGGGCCTTGGCTGGCAATCGGGACTGAGACGGGAGACCTTGGGGTTTCAAATCACTTGGTGGGGCTTGAGGCAGGCAGGGAGATGCTGGCAGACCAGGCACGGGGGGGCCCTCTTTCGTCCCCACTCCCCTCCCACCCACCCCAGAAATCCACCCAATTCTAACCAACCCCAGGAGGACTCATTCCCAGGATGCTGCGTGGGGCCACCAAGAAAAGGATTGTCTCCCTGCTCCTCCCACCAACCCCAGATTGTCGGGTTTTTTTTCCCCTCCCGCTGATCTAGGAGGACAAAGTTATCACGCTGTCTCTCCCCTGGCCTCGGCTTACGTGCGTCGAGGTGACCACGACGGGGCAGAAACCTCACACTCAAAAGAGACCCAGGGGAGGTTTGAGGGGAGTGGGTGGCCGAGGGGAACCTTCTGTCCGGGTAGGGAAGAGACTGCTTTTCTGACTGGACAAAATAATGCCTTGCCGATGAAGCAGAACCAGAGGGCCCAGGGGCTGAGTGGCTAGCGGCTACCGATCGAGACGACACTCCCGTTTTTCAAGGGGAATCTACGGGCTGACTTATCTGACTTGGGAGAGTGCATTTCATCGTCCGGCCAAATGGTCATTCGAGGGGCAGCAGGGGCCTAGGAAAGGTGACCCTTTTGGAAGATCCCTCTTTTGAACTCAGTCAAAATTTTTATTTTTTTTTTTCCTCCCCCTCGCGTGGGTCTGGAAAGAACCCATACGTGGGTCTCAAAAAGTATTTCTCTGGTCTTTTAGAGTTGCCAGCAGAAAGGAAGTGGGGGGGAGCAGTGCATTTCTTAAATGCTTCAGACAATTGCTCCAACAGCCAAAGCTGTTGGCGCACAAAATTACCACCAGAGAGCACGATTGATAACTCTTGGCTATGGATGTGTCCCATTGGAGAATATACATCCAGGGGGGTGGCGGAAGACCAGGATCAAGGGTTAAATGAATGATATGTCTCAAGAGTCGGCTGCACCCAGTAGCACCGGCAAAAGGCAGCATATTTCACTTTCCTTCTCCTCTCTTTGGTGACCTCTCTTCCATCTCCTATTTAGGGGCTTAATCTTGGCTTTTAGTAACTCCCACGGTAGCCAAATGTTCTTAGTGGAACGAGGGGGAAGAAATGGCCATGTTTCCCAAAGACCTGGGGTCCCAGGGGGCTAAGGGATTCACATATACATTCTTCCCAATTCAGCCAGCTTGGGGAGGCTTTCAAGCTAGACACACACACCCAAAATCATGCTTTCTGATTGCTCTAGAGCAGTGTTTCTCCATCTCTGCAACTTTAAGATGGGTGGGCTTCAACTCCCAGGATTCTCCGGCTAGCATGTAGGAGTTGAAGTCCGTTCATCTTAAGGCTGCACGGCTGGAAAAAAAAAAAACCCACTAACCTAACACTGGCTGCATGTGCACAGGTCATTCAGGATCCTTCAAACCACATTAACCTGCCCTGAAGTCACCTAACTCGGGGGGCAGGGGTATTCTCACCTTATACGGAAGAAGGCGAGTACAGGCAGTTAAGAAGAACATTATTTATTGAACAAGTGACAAGAATTCTAAAAGAAACCCCTCTGAGGCCACACACACTTCAGGAGGCGGGCAACTTTTTAAAAAGACATGCAAGGTTTTTCACAGGGAAGAAACCCTCGAGGAGGAATTTGCGGTTAAAAGATTGCATGAAGAGGAGTGAGGAGGCTTGAAAAGTAACAAAAATGAAACACGGGGGGGGGGGGGGGGGGGG